TGTGTGTGTGTGTGTGTGTGTGTGTGTGTGTGTGTGTGTGTGTGTGTGTGTGTGCAGTGTCCTTGGAGGCCACTAGAGGGCGTCAGATCCCTAGGACCTGGAGTTACAGGCAGTCGTGAGCCTCTAGATATGGGTGCTTGGAACAGAACTCTGGTCCTCCGCAAGAGCAGTAAGTGCTACTAACTGCTGAGCCATCTCTTCAGCTCTGGCATAGCAGCTTAAAAATATTTGTTTGTCTTAAATTCGGTCTAGATCTTACCTGTGTTTTGCCTGCAGTCCATAATTGGCATGATTAAACCTTGCATTTAATTTATTCTCTGCCCATCTGTTGATCAAGAATGTGGGATAGAACCTTTGGATGGTTCTGTTATAACGGGTGAAGAGTGTGGTGTCCAAGGGATTCCCATTATCCCAAACTCGGTTCCATATCCATGCCCCTCTTCTTGTGCTGAGGAAAACCTGTGTAGAGGAGTGGTCACCCAGTAAACCTTTTGTTTCTAATCATATTGGCCTAAAATTCTGATAGTTTCACCTTTTAATTGCCAAGGAGGTAGGATTAACTGCTCACATCGCCTGCCTGCTTCTCTCCTCTTACGCTGTGAACATGTCTAGTAACTTAGCAGCTTTTCAGTTCACTTACTGTTTGTCATGGGTCTTTCTTCCCCTACCTGTGCCAGATGTCTGAAATGTGTTAGGCTCCAGAATGTGAAGCCTTGATCCCAAATAACTGACTACATTGGGAGTTATAAGTTCACCCACACGTTCCCAGAAAGCCACGTCATTCTATAGTCCACGGTGATGGAAAAATAGCTGAACACAAAGTACGTAGTAACAACCAAAGTGAACGGGGAAAATTCACTCTGCAAATGTCCTCATATTTACAGATGGACAATCCCATACGAATAGTATACCGTCACAAAGCCCAGGATATACCTATGAGAACTAGCTCTGCTCCCTAGTTGGAGTCATTTAACTGAGATTTTGAAGCAGGATGCAGCTTTTTAATGAAGACATAACCACTGTCTTGAAAGGTCATAATCACAGAGATTTATGATTCATGTTTTATATACACAAAGCCTGGTGTGAGTCAGTAGACCACAGAATGGCTGGTTATATGCTGTGTGGGCAGAAAGCATCCGGTGTTTGAAAACTCATGTGTTCCTGAGCTATCTTGAATTAATATCAAAGACTAACTGTGAATGACAGAGAGTGACCTTCCATGCTCTCTAGAAGTCAGCAGCATTTGTAGCCGAGAGGGCTGCTTGTTTTTTCTTACTCTTTATATTCTTAATTAGTGAGATCCCATGGACCTGCTGCTCTGTGCTTAGCTATTCGTTCATAAATCAGCAGAGTACCTCCATTCATGTCCATGCATATTGTTCTCTATAAAATCATGTCCACTATGAGCACTTGGGATTTTTCTGTAGATTTAATTTCAGTTTTTAAATATTTATCTCCCCAGTGTAGCCATAAGCAGATAATTCCAGTAATTGACTCTAGTTCACGATCTTTCACAGCTCATTCATTACGTAGAAGAATATCAGTATTTAGGTATCTTTCTATTATTTTCTTTATATATATCCAGAAGAAAATAACGCATAATTGCCTTTCTCAGCTTTCAGCCAAAATAGGAGCACTGCTGCTAGAGCCAGAGAGAAAGCCTGGACTCACGCTCTCTGCAGGTATCAAGGTTATCCCCAAGAGCAGAATCAGGGTAGGACACCAAACCTGTTCAGCAACACGGCTGATCTCGCCTGCCACATCTGCTCCAGAATTCCCGATGCCGATCACGACCACTCTCTTCCCCACAAAATTGTCTGGGTGCTTATACTCCCAGCTGTGGAGATGGCTGCCTTGGAACTTGGTGATTCCTGTGAAGGAAGAGTCACATCCCCCAAGTCACAAGCAGAAGTGGCAAATACGCATGGGGCAAATTTCATTCCTAAACTCTAAGTTCACGTGTTATGTAACCCCCTTCTCTGATCTTGGCCATTTATTGCCAGTGTTACAGAATAGGATTCTCCAAGGAAGGAAATACTCA